TGTTCTGCACTCCACGCCCTCTGCTCTGTATCAATCTGGCCAATTTTAGTTAGTGTTGTATGATGCAATGCATTTGCTACTGACTTTGTCTGGACACATGCACAGGAATTGTTTATGTTTGTTCATAGTGGGGTAGAAAGAGAAAACTAAATAAGAGATTATAGTTCTGGCAACTCTCTGGTCACAAATAGGTTAGAATTCAGTCATGACTCATACATCTGATGTTGACTAACAATCCAGCTACAGCACTGCAGATAGAATAATTATTTCATGACCATGACAGCATCACACAAACAGAAAAATACAGGTTTAACCTTTTCAAATATATCGTCCCACCACAGGGATACGTTGGCCTTGGCAGTGCAGCTCTAAGCGTGTTTTGATCTGGACTCAGTCTTTTTACAACCTTGACGAGTTGTGTATTGTTTTGACAGGTCTGTCTCCAGATTCCATCTGTGCAAAGCATTTTAGGATCCATATATCAACTGCAACAGCTGTTGACACAAGGGGGGTCCGGAGTTGTGGCTACGACTCCAAAATGTTTTCCACTCAAAAGTTACGACCACAGTCCAGATACTCCCTTTTTAATGCCAAAACATTTCTACTCTGTTAATGTCTCTGTTACTTTGATTCAGTGTCTCTTATACTCATTCTGAATCTTTGGTTGTAAAATTTAAAGAGTTACCTTTCAGAGGGGGATCAGGGTTATGGCTGCAATCAAACTTAATGAGGAACAGTAACTTTTTTATTTTCAGTACATTATTCTGGGGCTTGTACACAAAAATGAGGGTGTCCAGTGTCAGAAGCCGCAGGTTAAAGACAGCTGTGCTTTGTGATAAGTTATATTTGCTATTTAAAAAAAATTAGTGTTGGCAGTAAAAAAAGCATCTGTTAGAGCATGGAAATGAGCTGTAAATGCAGAGAGAAAATGTCCGAAAAATGCAAAATTTTTGAAACCTGTCCAGTCATGTCGTGAGGGAGTCGCAACTGAGCCAGAGGACCACCAGAACCAAGATCCAGGGAGCTTAAAATGTAACAAGGCCTTATTTCTGCAAAGTTGGAAATATTGGAAGAAGCATTTCAAGTGATTTTGGAGATCCTCAGCAAAAGGGACCTGAGGCGCCCTACATCAAACCAAACCAACCACCAGGTACAGAAAACAGTAACAGTAAATATAAAGTCTGGATCCTCTCAAAACCAAACAGTGGCATTGTTCAGTGCTTTCTTACATTCATCGTTCTCTGAGAAAAGGAGCAGAAATACTTCTTTCTCCAACCAAAGTTACTTCAATAGAGCACAGCATAATGCAGCCATATGTAGCAGGAGCTGTATCATTCTCAAGATTGTATAGCTCCATCTGTAACAGATGGTAAAAGGCTTTACTTGACAGTTTTTACCAAACAGTAAAAGTTTAAGCCCATTCACAAAGTCCGAATCATCATATTAGGGATTCTACAAGTGAGTTCATCCTCATTTCTGCTTTCTGAAGCAGAATATGAGTAGTAAATATCTGCAGGGGCTGCTTATTAGCAGAGGCAAGTAAACAAGAAGACCGTCCAGACTGCATTCCAAATCACAGTTTCGGGGCCAAAAAGATTGGCCTGCTCTCGTTTTCATGTTGCTTAGGTTTCTGACTATCTCACTTAGTTCTCTTTTACTTCCACAGACTACAAATTACTGCATCTGCTATCTGTTAAATCTACAGATAAACAGCTCAATACCTGAAGCTAAAAGGTGTCTTCAATCAATATGTATTTACTTCATATACAGTACCTAGGAACTTCTCATTAGTGCGTTCCAAAAACAACAAAGCAATAAACTTATAGATGTACATTACCTCCTCTCTGTCATCGATGGCTTGTTTACTCTGCTGCTTTTGCCACCTTTCTATTGCAATTTGCTTGTTCAGCTTGTCTGGGGGTAA